CAACAACAATTTTAAGGCTGTACGCTCTTACTTGCCCGCGAGTCATTCAACACGTATACCCTACACCCTCGAAACCCGCCCTCTTCGTCTTCGATCACACCCCTTTCGGGGGGATTATTTCTCTTTGCTGGGGCCGGCGGGCTTAGACGTACGGGCAAACCGGAACGGGCGGACAATCCTTCGGGGGCGTACATCTCTCTGCCCGCCATTGGAATTGGCGCGGGCCCTGCAAGAGGAGGAGGGGAAGAACGAGGGAGAGTGGGAGGAAGGGGAGGGGGAAGGACGAAGGAAGAGGGAAGATACCACGTTGTGAAGGCGTCCTTGGCGCGTGCGTGGTTCCTGAGCGCCGAAACGCAATTCCAGAATAATTTGTGAGGACGTCGCACGCGAGAGCGCAGTCCTGAGTACATTGTGAGGAAATCTCGGGCGGAAGCGGGGGCCCTGACTAAGTTGCGAGGAAGTCTCAAGCGGGAGCGCCGTTCCTGAGCAAATTGCACGGAAGTCTCAGGCGGGAGCGGGGGTCCTCACTAAATTGCGAGGAAGTCTCAGGCGGGAGCGCCGTTCCTGAGTCAATTGCGCGGAAATGTCAGGCAGGAGCGGGGGTCCTGAGTAAAATTCGAAGAAGTCTCAGGCGGGAGCGCCGTTCCCACGTAAAGTGCACGGAAGTCTCAGGCGGGAGCGGGGGTCTTGATTACATTGCGAGGAAGTCTCAGACGGGAGCGCCTTTCCTGAGTAAATTGCGCGGAAGTCTCAGGCGGGAGCGGGGGTCCTGAGTAAAAATCGAGGAAGTCTCAGGCGGGAGCCGTTGTTGTTGTAGCCCGGGGGGCAGGGGCACAGTTTGAGCAGGAAGACTTTCCTTTAGAAAAAACAAGGTGCGAGCCCCGGGGGTGGCACTTCAATCGAAAAAAACAATGTGCACCGGTGGGGGGGATCAACAATAATTATCCTTCAAGAATGAGAGTTCAACAACAACAACAACAACAACAACAACAACAAAACAAAAACAAAATCAACATCAACATCAACAGCAACAGCAACAGCAACAGCAACAGCAATGGCACCATCATCATCAGAATCAACATCATCATCACCATCATCATCACAACTATTCTCCACCTCCTCCTCCTCCTCCTCCTCCTGTTCATTTTCCTCGTCGTTGTGCGTGGCCCGTCCTCATCCTCCAACTCCTCCTCGTCCTCCTCCTCCTCCTCCTCCTCCTCCACCTCCTCCTTGTCCTCCTCTTCCACATCCTGGAAGTCTTGCGCTTCTGACTCCGCGGCCAGGAGCGTCTGTGGCGGAGGAGAGCGACGACGGAAGGGAGAAGGAGGAGGCCCAAGATGACTCGGAAAAACCAAACCCCACACCTCTTGGGACACCTTTCGCGCGGAGGGGGGTATAGGAGCCCTTGGGGGCCGGGGTGAGGACCGCCTGCCTGCCTTCCTGCTGTCGTGCTGCCCTGCGCGCATGGCTGCTGCCCTGCTGGCCTGGCAGCTTTCTCCCCGAAGTTACCGTCTGCATGCTGGTCAGCGTTGTCTGGTATCAGGCTCGCCTGCTTGTTTGGTTGCTTCATCGTATATTTGCCCCCTCGCTGCCGCCCAGTGCCGCCAACTGCCGGTTGCTGATGATTGGTCCTGCTTGATGGTAGCTGCCGCTGTTTGGAGCTTCTGCTGCAACTTCCTGTTTGCTGGTGCAGGCGACTGCTTGCTGCGGTTTGTTGTTGCTGCTTGCTGCTCAGCGCTGGTACTCTCAATGTGTACTGCCGCTGTTTACTGCTTTTCGCCGCTGCTGCTTGGCAACGGAGGCTGAAGCTGGCTCCTACTAGTTCTGTTCGCGTGGTTGTTAGCACGCGGGTCCGATATATGCATGCCTGATAGTTCGCTGGCCTGCTGGCTTGATGTATTGCGTGCCTGCTTCATTCGATTCGTTTGTTCCGTCTTGCTGCGGACTTCTATTGCTCAGGGTTGCTTGCTGCTACTTGCTGCTGGTTGCCGTTAATCGTTTCTGCTGCTGTCAACTGTTGACTGGTCACATGTTTGCTGCGGTGTTGTGCTGCTGATTGTTGTTGCTTGGTGCTGGCTGTTGATGTTTGATGCGTGCTGGTTGGCGCAGGCGATATGAACGCGTGTTGGTGCTGCTGCGCTGCTGCTGCGCGGCGATGCTGCTTACTGATGCAGGCTGCTGATGCCTGCTAGTGCTGCCGTCTGCTGATGTTTGCTGCTGCTAACTGCTCATCGCGCCGCTGCTGGCTCTGCTGCTGCTGCTGCTGTTGCTGCTGCTGCTGCTGCTGCTGCTGCTGCTGGATGTGGGGGTCGTGCTGGGGCACGCTGGGGCCGTGTTGGGTGCGTCTTGGGGCCGTCTTGAAGCCATCTGGGGCCGTCTCGCGGCTCTCCGTGGGGCATCTTGCGCCATCGTGGCGCCTTCTAGAGGCCCTCCCAGGCCTTCTGGAGGCCCTCTAAGGACGTCGTGGGCCCTCGGGGGGGCCTTCTGGGGCGGGCCATCCTGAGGTCGTGTTGTGAGCCCAGTGGATCGCCCTGGGGGGCCGTCTGGGGGCCATGCCAACTTGGAGGCGGGTCGGGCCACTCCGAGGCCACGTTACGCACTGCCAGATGCAAGGGGAGACGAGCCAGGAGGCGCCGAGGACGGCGTCGCCCCCCCGAGCGGAGCCGCCGAGGCAACGCCGCCCCGGACCAGGACGAGGGAAACAGGATGCCCTTCTCGCACAGCCGTGCTCTACCACCACGGAATATGAGGAATGTCGGCTAGACCCTCTTCGGGCACTCTTCCTCCCGAGCTGCTTGGGATCATTTCGGGCGAGTTCAGGGCACCTCCTGGGCCGTCTTGGGGGGCTCGTGGGCACTTTGGGGGGCCATGCTGGGGGTCGGGGCCGTCTTGGAGCGCGCTTTGGACTTTCTCGAGGAGCTCCTCTTGGGGATGTCTCGGGGGGCACTTGGGGCTCTCTGGAGCCGTGCTGAACCTCTTCTGGGTTGCCTTGCAAACCTTTGGGGCCGTCTGGGAGCCCTCTTCGACGCTTCCTAGGCCGTCGGGAGACGTCCTGAAGGCGGTAGAACCGTCCGGGCCCGCTCTGGACCGAAATTACACAAACATGGAAAGTATTCGACGACCACCAGGATACGTATGATTTTAGCGTTCTTAGGCCTTCAAGGGTCCGCGTCGGGGCATTCACACAATGTGTGCCCCTCGGGCTTTCAAGGGACCCATCCAAGATTTGCCGGCGCATTTCAACATAGAGCTGTTCAACAACAGATGAGAAACCAGCAGTTGTTCAACAAGCCGTCTGCCAGCTTTCTTGGATTTCGTTCTAGGGCCGTTGGCAGCATCCTCCTGGGCCGTCGTGCGGGCCCTCCTCGCCTACAGACAAGCCCTTTGGAGCCGCCGTGAGGTGTCCCTGCGAGTCTGGAGCCGCCTGGGCGCCCTCCTGAGCGCCGCAGAGCTATCTCAATGGCTGTCGGCCCATGCCGCCTCCGCGCCTGGATTGAGAGTCAGTCTTCAGGGATGCTTCTTGGGGTCCCTTGGGACAGTTCAGGGGCCTCTTGGGGACAGCTTTGGGAGCCTCGCGGGGGCCTTTGGGGGGTCTCCTGGAGCTTCATTGGGGCCTCTTGGAGGTCTCTTGGGGCCTCCTGAGGGCCTTTTCGGGCCGAGGGCTCGACATGACCATTCGGATCCCCCGTCTGGGCCCCCTCTTGGAGCCGTCTGGCGGGCCTCTTGGGCAGCCCAAGAGGCCTTCTGGGGCCATTTGGGGCTCTCTTGGAGGCCTCTTGGGTCGTATTGTGGCGATCTTGGGGGCCGCTGAAGCCGTCTTGAAACGTCGGGAAGCCAAAAAAGACGAGACAACCAAAATGCGTCAAAAGCCCCAGGAACATCAATGATTTGTGCATCCGGCTGCCCTCTTGGGAAGGCCTCTTGGAGGCCTGTGGGGGCGTCTTGGGGGCATCTTGGGCAGTACTGAGCCACCGCGAGCCACCTCGACGCCCTCTTGAGCGTCGCAGAACTATCTTCGGGCCATCTGATGCCGTCTGGGGACCCTCTGGGGCCGTCGCGGAGCGTTCCCGGGGCGTCCCTGGGGCTCCCCGGGCGATTTTGGCCCGATTTGGGCCCCAGGACCTTTCCGCACGCACGGGCCCGTGCAATGTGAATAGGATGAAGTTGGGCTCCAGTTACACATCCCACATCTCTCTGAGCCTGTCTTGGGGCGAGCATGGGCCATTATTGAAATCTTGGAGCCATCTCGGAGGCTAGCCTGTCCCGTTTCGGGCGCTCTTGGAGGAGCCTCTGGCGCTCTTTGGGGCTCGTCTGGGCCTCGTGGGTCCTCTTCTACACGCTTGGGGCCCTTCTTGGAACCGTTTGGAGCTGCAGCGAAGGGTGCCGAAAATGCACGAACCCCTCGGGAATTTGACGGCTCCTCCCTTCCTGGGGGTCCTGCGTGGACCCTCTCGGGGCCACATCGGCGCCATCTTGGGAAGTCTTGGGGCGTCTAGGGCTGTCATGGGGGCCCTCTGCTGGCGGTCGCGGGCGCCTCCTGGAGGCTCTCTGAGACCGCAAGCTGCCCTCAGAGAGCTCCGCCCAGCCGGCTCATGGCGTGCGGAGGCCGCCCACGGGCGCGCAGCAGCCCGCCAGGAGGAGGAGGAGGAGGAGGAAGAGGAGGAGGAGGAGGAGGAGGCCGTGCGTTCCCCGTCTGAGCGTGGCGCCCTTCAGGCACGCGCTGCGCCCGGCACTGCAAGGAGAGGTCACGTCGGGCTGCAGGCTCGCCCCCACCATCCCGTGGAGCAGCAGCAGCGCCCGCTGAGGCTGTTCGCCCCTCCCGCACGCGGTGATGGCTGCGTTGCACAGTATGGTATCGACGCGGACGCGTGCATGCGGCGCGTCGCGGAGCACGCTCAGCGCCGAGGCCCACTGCCTCGAGTTCCCATACTTTTTGATGGCGGCTGTGAGCGAGGCTGCATCCAGACGAGAACCCTTCCATTTCACGTTCCCGACTGCACCTGCCGAATGCGGGCCCATTGGTCGCAGACATATCACCGACACAATGCGCTTGGGCCACGGATCAGACTGATACAGACAACAGATTCGATAAATATGGTAATATGGTCATTGACATGGTGGCGATGATGGACGGCAAAATGACGACCAAGCTGGTGATGATCGGGCTGACCAACAAAGTTCGCTGGCCGCCCACGGGGTAGGACGTTTGTGGACTTCACGATATCCGCCGCCGCGTCCCCTGGCAAACTGGGGCGTGGAATACTGCCACGCGCTGCCTGGCACGGGTTTTGTAAACGTTTCAGTGGGCCCCTTGGCCGATTCGTGGCGAAGCCATCGCAATGAACTCGGACCAATGGCTAGATGACAGCAAAGCCTCGGGTCCTTGGTCATGGACGGTACGTGATCAAACACGCGAGGACCTGAGGTCGCCCACCAAGGAACACCGCCACAAAAAAAAGGCACGCTGCCAACAAAGCGAACCCTCGTCGGTCACGGCGCGCCCGAAATGTATCGCTGCTTAAGCCGTCAAGACTGATTCGCGCCACAATTAAAAAGAAGAGGACGGCGAGGACGGCGACGACGAATGAGGAATGATGTCGTAGAGGAACAAAAGATGACAAGAACAAGGAGGGAAGGGGAGCGGTCGACGAAACTAAACACAAGCGAAGATAGAAAAATGTGTTACGCAAGCGGAATCAAGGCGGTGCGTACGGAATGGACAGTGTCTAAAGCGATACGAAAGTGTGCACGCAGCGCTGCAGGTTGTAAATGGAAGCGGAAACCAAAGGCACAGGCAGGGATGAGGTGAAACAGGCAGAACAAACACCGTTCAAGCCTGGTGCTCCAACAAATCTGCCGTGCCCCCGCTGGCGCGCCGGTGACAACTTGCAGCTGAGAGTCCTCAACTGACCGCACTGGTGAAAAATATGCCACACTATTTGTGGAGCAAAAGGTGACAGACTCACTCCAACGCTCAACTTCCACATAGTCCTTGGCAGTGAACGCCCGCAAAACTTAACGATTTTGCGGATGCTTGGTAGGTTGACCTGTGTACTGGTGAACGGAGAAACGGTGGTCCACCTCGTGACACAATCACAAGAATCGCCGAATCACTGCTTGGTGAGGGAACTGCGCTGGGAGCTCGGGACGGCCGTCTTCCTCCTCTCGTCGCCGAACTTGACCGTACCATGGTCGTAGCCGATCTGGCCGCACATCACGCTGAGGCTGAGTTCCCGGCCCATGGCGCCGTTGGTCATGGGGGCGGCCCACATGTCCCGAGCATCGCACCAGAGTAAATCCTCGATTTGCCTGGTGCGCAGCTGGTCAGCTGATCACCACAGGTGGTCTGCCATGCCGTTCTCGAAGGGCGGCCGCACCGGGTCCACGAGCAGGGCGCCGAAGAAGGACATGCCGTCGATGACGAAATCTGCAGTGATCGCGCAACCTCCTTCCCCGCTCAAGTTAAGATCTCCTCGGCAGAAGCGGGGCCGTGCACCATCTCGCGCAGCGCGAGGAAATGCGCCTGCAGTCCGTCGGCTGCGCAACATGCTGCGAGCAGTTCTGAACCGAACGAGGATGCTCACTGCGTCCAATAAGTGGCGCACCTAGTTGCTGGCGCGGCGGCCCTTGCCGAGACGCATATAAACGGCTCCGCGCACGCCGAATCCTGTCTCCTCTTCCACACTGAACGACCCGTCGCTGCGCGCGCTGAGTCGCCTGACAAACTCCACGGCTGGAAACGCAATGCGTGCCTTTTTATCTTCTGTCTAAGCAGAATGATTGAGTTGAGCTGCATCACGCGTCGGATGGGCAGCTTGTCCTTGGCTCGTTGCAGGGCGACGGTGCGCGCGGCGACGCGGTCCTAGGCGAGCACGGCGCAATCCGCTGCTCGCAGGAGGGAGACTAAGAGGTCTGGAACCTGACCGCCGGCTGGCTCGTCAGCCTGTGCATTGACCAGGCCAGCGAGTCTGATCGGCATCCGAGCGTCGACGCACTCGCCCTGCTCGAGCGCCACGGCACCATCGGCACTGCGGTGCCGGTAAACTCCGAAGTGGCGAAATCATCGCAGTCACCCTTCCTGTGGCCGACGAAGCTCTCGATGCGACCGATCGGTCAGTCGACACGCTCCTTACGCCCAGCGATCTTGAGATCATCGACATGCTTGGACGGCATGAGCACTAGCTCCGAGGCGCTGGCGCCACAGGCACCGGACGCCTAGTGCTTGACATCAAGCTCTGGCCCCACCTGGCGGGCATGGCGCTGCACTCTCACGAGCGCGTGACCTGGGCGAACTTCATGGAGAAGGCTCGGGGCGCATGCTGGCAGCCCGTACCCGGCTTGATGCAGCGCAGGCACTCGGTCCGCTCGCCACAGCTCCCGTAGTCGGGCACCTGCCCGAGGATGGCTGCACTGCGGGGCGGCAGGGCAAGGTTCACCTCGCGGGGTGGCTCACCTTGTTCCTGCATTTCGGCGCAGATCATGCCATGCAAGAACGCCTTCTCGACATTCACAGCGACGCACACCCGGTCTGGGCCACGCGCCGCCCTTACGGCGGCAGGCGCTGCGACGCCCGCTTCGCAGCCCCAGCGAAACTCCCCAGGGCTCCGGCGCCCATGTCGCGGAAGCCTCTCAACGCAAGACGTCAGCGGAAGATCCCGACAGTCCTGCCGTCTGATCCCTTCCGGTGCCTCCACTTGAAGACACGTCTGTAGTCCATCACGTTCCGGGCGCCCGTGAGCGGTCGCCTCTCGAAAAAATCGGTGCTTGACCCAGGTTCGAAGATGGCCGCTACGACCTCCTTTGACAGCCTCGACACCCCATCGTTGGACAGGAGGTCGGCGTCGCGCTTCATGACCGCGGCCTTAACGGCGGCATCAATGACGGCTGTCCAGGGAGCGCTAGCAACAGAGTCACTAAACGCTGCCCCGTTGCAGCTCAAGCCTGCTTCACGCACCCATGGATCGAGATGCAACTCCACATGTCTTCCAGTTTCGTCCTCCTTCGCTAGCGTGGCGCAGTCGCACAAGGGGGCCCCGCGCTGGTAGCAGTGGCAACGCGCGTGGGTGCTCTGCAGCTGGTGCCGGGGCCACTCGCGGGGCCTGCGGCCGACGCCGGTCGCGGCGTGCTCGATAGCGGCGTAGATCCTCTGCTGACTGTCGGCGCTCTCCAGCTCCTCGAGCTCCTGGGTCGGGTCTCTGCCCCCTCGACTTCACGCCAGGCTGCCAACATCACCTGTTGGATGTGGCCGGAGAAGTCGCCGTCGGTCTCCTCGGGCATAGCCGACAGGGCAGATAGTGAACCACCCTCGACGGCGCTGGCGGCGTCCTCGGGAACGTCGAAAACAGTCATCGAACGATCCGCCCAGGTCCTGCTCGGCGTCTTCTACCAGCAATGGCTCGTCACCCACCATGAACTGAATGACGCGAGCCTCCGTCCAATCCTCGCCGATGAGCTGGTCGCCGTCGAATTTGCCGCCGTTGAGGTGCATCTGCTGGACGTTGATCGGGCACCGAGGGGACCACCAGATAGCCAAGCTGCGGGCGCAGCCCGGCCAGGTGCCCACAGAGCTCTGGCCGCGCATCAGACGCACGGCACGAACGTCTGGCAGAGCGTAGAAGATGTCCAGGCGCTGTCGGGCCTGCTCGGTGATATACACGCCCCTCGCGTCCACCCAGTGGCCGAAGGTCCAAGCCCTCGAGCCTGGCGCGGCGTGCTCCAGGTAGTCCTCCACGCGATCCCGGGCCAAGCCTGCTCGCAACATGCCAATGCCCATGTCGTCGAAGACAGCAACGATGACGGCCAAAACGTCCTGCAGCCTGCTTACCATCTCGGCTCGGCTGCACTTGACCGCCACCTTGCCTCGATCGGGGTCTACAGAAATGATCCCAGGCCGGCCCAGCCCGACACGTCCTTGGACCTATGGACCCCCGTTGCGTCGCCAACGTTGAAGCAACCTTCCCCAGACTCGGCGGCACGAGTCTGCAGCGCAGCGCGCGCCAGCATAGAATCGAAGCTCGCCACGATACCTGCGCGCTCTAGCTGCGCTTCTACGGCGCGAACTGCGCGGCGTACTTTGGTACCGCATCGATTGACGGAGCGAGCGTGCTGACGAGAAGCTCAGATATCAACATGTACTTCTCGCCTCTGCATCTCCTCCACAGAGCATGGTGAAGTCAATCCGCCCTCGCCGCCCACTTTGAACATCTCCATCGCGCCGAACAGCTGAATCCATGAACGGCCGATGGCGGCAAGCAGCGCCGAGACGCGCTTGGACATGATTTCCTCGTCAGTATGCCACAGTGAGGCGCAGCAGATGGGGGGATGATCGCGTGATCCTTCTAGTACAGGAAGGATGTCGCACTCGACGTGCCAGTTGAATCGCGTCGAAAGGCGGAGTGCAGGGATGGTCTGACGCGCTGGCGATAGCCACCAGCGGCACTCCCTACAGTTGTTGACAACCGTGTATATCAGGTCGAAGATGTCTTGTGGTGTGTTGGCTGCTCGTTGCGCTCGTGCCATCTCCTACTTAGTGGCGCGCCACCACTGGAGGTGTAATTTGCACGCGCGACTCACGCGAGGTGCAATGTGCGCAGCTCTCGCATGCGCGTCTCACGCGAGTCACCACGAAATGCTCGTTATGATGTGGTGACAACGAAACGAATCCAGTCTGAAGGCGTCGGGTTGCCTAAAGCTGCATCAGCAGCTCGGATTGCTGACCGTCGGGGCTCCGCACCTGTTGCTGGACTGGCTCGCATCCCTGGTCGAATGACACAATCACCCGAACAACTACTCTGAGGTCGAGTGGCACAGCCACCCGGGCCACGACCCTGAGCCCCAGCGCAGGATGATGAGCTAGCACCTGATTATCCTGCGGGCGATGGTGGCAGGGCAGCACATCTGCTGCCCACAGGCCTGCACCGCTGGATAGTTGAGTCTGCTCGTCGCTGGAGCGACACGGCCCCCCAGGTGGCGCCGGTGTTCTCGGGCACCGGCTGGCGCGGGGGCGCGGCCGCATGCGGGGATCCACGAACC